AAAAAAAAAATAGTAGTTAATGGAGATGATGGATGATAAACTGGCTGGGAACTGGAACCCTTCCCCGAGTCCTCTGGAAGAGAAGTGATGTTCTGTGTTATGCTGGAGTATTTGTCTCTCCATCCGAATGCAGGAGTGTGACGTCGAGCTCTGCCGGGGGAGACCCGGGGGGATGGAAGGGAAAATGGTTGAGTCTTTGCCGTTGGGAGCAGCATCGAGGACGAGAGCCCTGCCCTCTCCTGCCCGGCTGCTGGCCAAGCCTTCGCAGCCTTCAAATAGCCAGAGGCTGCACATGTGGGAGGGATGGACCATTTTCAAACTCTCCTTCCCACTGCTTCTGGAAGGCTCCTGGTGGAGTCATCCCCGAGGGCTTGGAGTCCTCTCAACCCCGCTGGAGAAAGCGCTTGGTCCGAAAGGATCTGACTCCCACGCTGGGGGAGGTGGGTGTGCTGGTCCTCGCTGTTTAATGGCGTGGCATCCTGGAGGGATGTCCACAAACCTCCTCTCCTCCACCTCTGCTGCTGCTTTTTATCCGCTTTTTAATCTTAAATGTGGTAAAACGAAGCCATACGAGTGTGAACTCTTAAGGTTGTTGCCTCTCGTGGCTGGGAGGGCTCTTTTTTTCTTGTCTCACACCTACTTATTTCAGTGTTACCGTAGGACCACAAGGTTTTTGGTTGCTTTTTTGTGTTGCGCTGGGAGGCGAGCTGCCCGCTGTTGATTCCGGTTGTTGCTGCATTGCAGTTTGGTTGAGGACGAGAGCCCTGCCCGGCTGCTGGCCAAGCCTTCGCAGCCTTCAAATAGCCAGAGGCTGCACATGTGGGAGGGATGGACCATTTTCAAACTCTCCTTCCCACTGCTTCTGGAAGGCTCCTGGTGGAGTCATCCCCGAGGGCTTGGAGTCCTCTCAACCCCGCTGGAGAAAGCGCTTGGTCCGAAAGGATCTGACTCCCACGCTGGGGGAGGTGGGTGTGCTGGTCCTCGCTGTTTAATGGCGTGGCATCCTGGAGGGATGTCCACAAACCTCCTCTCCTCCACCTCTGCTGCTGCTTTTTATCCGCTTTTT